GCTCTCCTTTCGATATCATTTTGTCGACGGCGGAGCCCACTAACTAACTACTTACTTTTGCTCGCTCGCGTGTAGCACACACACACACACACACACGCGCGCGCTCGCTCGCTCTCTCTCTCTCTCTCTCTCTCTCTCTCTCTCTCAGTTTATTTTTGGTTTATATTATTTTTTTGTTTTTTTTTGTTTGTTTGTTGTTGAATTTTTTTTTCTCTTCGGTTAGTTTTATGACACGTATTCCGCGATTCTTCTCGACCGTAATATGTGTTCTGTCTCAATCATTCGTATTCTCTTATTCTCTATCCGTTAATGCTTTATCGTTTAACGGAGTCGGTAAACGTGTTGTCTCGCAAGACGTATTTCTCTCCGTCGTTCAATGTCTCGTCTTCTATTTCTTAGCTTTAAAATTCGCTTATTTGCGCGTGGGATTTTGATATGAAGGACTAGCTTCTGTTTGTATTTTCTTTTAATATCCTTTTAAAGCCCAGGAAAAGGAATTATGCGTCATTGTAAATAAGTGTGGCTCGGCTCACGCTGTATCTCAACCGATGCACTTGCACTCGCATAGAAAATAGCACGTACTGATGCAGGTAGACTGATAGTTCCTGTATAAATTTAGTCGAAATTATTTATAATTCATATGCAGCTACGGACGATGGTATTCATTTTTTTTTACTTTTTGGTTAATTTTTTTTATTATTATTTATTTATTTATTTATTTATTTATTTATTTTTTTGGTTCGTTTTTGTTATTTTTATTTTATTATTAATTTAAAATTTTTAAACACTTTTACACATACTTATACGTACTTATATACGATTATACATAATTTGATTTCCTGGGTAGTATTATTCTCACTAGCTCACACACAGAAGTTAATTAAATTTCTTTGATTAGTCGAATTCATAATATTTTTTTATCTGCGCCATTTGTTTCGATGGCTAACGTCAACTTGGTTTATGAAACGAATACATATCGGACGTCGTTCCATTTAATTACCGATTGCGAGGGAAAGATCCTCAATTCGCAGTGACATTAATAAGAAAGGTGTCATCGCCATTGAAAAAAGACCGCTTATTATCATTTAAAAAGGGGCGGGGATACTTGACTGTAAAGAAAATCGACGTCCGAAATTGTAGATTCGTTCGATCACGATAGTGGACGATCGCGGTTATTTTAATGAACGAGCAAATGATCGATCGTTCCGATTTCGTTTACAAATGTTCGTATCGCAATAACTAAGGAGAAACTTGGATTATTTAAAATGTAAAGTCCGAACGCGCCCAACGTTCAAACAAAACAAAAGTAATTATTCATTGATAAACTGACGATTATTATTGAACAAACATGCGATTACGAACATTTATAATCTATACGACTAAACGATAGGAACAACAAGTCACTTTCTCTTCTCTTTTAAATATAGGATATACGTTATTGAAACGTCCTGATGGTCCTTGGGCCTAGATTGATAACAGTATAATACCTATCATGTCCATTGATAAGATGTGTAAGCAAAATCACGTAAAAATTAAATAAACTCATTGTCTCATTCTTAATCTAAACAGAATATCTATAGTGTCACGGTATTGGCTCGTTGGCAGATTTGACTACCATTATTACATCGTGCATATGTGCATACAGGCGCGCGCGCGGACGCGCACACAGAGAGTGTCACACGTATTCAGATACAAACATCGAAGAACGAGAAGACACGATCACCGACTTCAATAATTTTTCTCTTTCTATCGGATGTTATCCCTATAACGATTCGGAAAAAATTTTATCTTAAATGTCCTTCAAAAGTTCTCTTAATTTTGTTATCCTCGTCAATTTATGTAAACCAGAAGAAATATTTATTTGCATATCATTTTTGTTTTGTTTTGTTTTGTTTTGTTCTTGTTTTAATCATTAATAAATTAATTATAAGCGCAAAATGGAGTAAGAACCAGTAAGACATACACAAAGTCTCCTTTCACACATATGAGATTCCAGATTATTCCATTATTTCCGATCCTCTTCCATCTTATGCATATGTATATATGATATAATGCTTGTATATTTATATACATATCCATAATTATATTATCACTTGCATTATTAGCAGTTCTTTTGTTATCGTGTATTGAATGGTTATATTTTGCTTCGATATTAAACGGCATGCAGCTCGTAGGTATGTGTAAATAATATGCGCATGAAAGAGAGAAAGTTTTTTTGTTATCTTAAAATTTTTTTTCTTAAGTTCCTTATCTCGAAGAGCGTTAACAGATCCATCTGATTTTTTCTCGTTCTATCCTCGGTTCGTCAATTTTGCCACTTCCAATGAACCGCGACGGACACAATTAAAGTTTCTTTTAGTTGCTATTACGAGTCTTATTCCTCCTGTCTGGCGTCTACATACGTTCCATCGACTTGGATGTGGCATTTGGGGACTCGATGAGCTTGATAGATTGTTGCTTTTTTTTTTCTTTCTAGTTTTCGGGAAGTGACGAGCGATGGTCGATATTATTTGTGGCTTTGGCAACCGCTGTGGACTTGGGTATCGCCATTATTACCTGCAGTCATTTAAAAGACTATTAGTTTTTTTTTTTTTTCAAGTTGATAAAGGAAAAAATATCGTTGGATCGTAGAGGATGGAAGGGCCATTAATATAATTTCCCAAAGGTCCCCCCGCCCCCTCCGCGATCTTCACTGTCAGTTGTTAAATGACTTATTAAAGACTTATTAAATCTTTTTTTTTTTTATTGCCAGATTTATTTAATAAAGATTCGTCTGTACTTTCATAGATTGAAGTAAAATAATAATAAAATAATAAATAAAAATAAATTCAATACAGTACACACTTAAAGACACAATTTCTAAATCATTATTTAATCAATTTACGCAGTTTAATAAAATATTAAGACAGTTTTTATAGCGCAATTTTTCAATGTTATAGTTATATGGAACTTTCGCGTGAATTGTAATTCACTAATTTTTTTTATAAGAGTTTTTTCCGTCAATGTCTTTATATTGTTTATCCTTTAATATATGGATATTCAATTTAACAGATTGTAATAAATATTATTAAGAATAAGACTATGAAATAAAAAAAAAAGAAAAGAAAAACGTCTATTTTGGTTTTACTAGCGTTTAAAATAATTACCTAAAAATATAAGAAGAACGAACGAAACAGAATGTAATTTTTTGATTTTTATCTTTTACAATTTAAGAAAAGCGTCTTATAAATATAATGATTAATACATAATGAAAAAAAATTAAATGTTCACCAAATAATTATTCGTAATTCTACGACTAATTTTTTTAAATTAATTTCTTTTAGAATAAATGAAATTATTATAAAGCACTATAATTGGCATTTCTTTTATTTCATATGTATATTACGATAATATATAATACCTTAATGCGAGTAATCTTCTCAAATATTATTTGCAATTGAAATTTTTAAGTACATTTTAAAGGAAAATCATTTTATTTCGTCTATTACTTTATCTTTCAAGAGCTAAAGCATTTTAGAGAAAATGTTTTTCATGCTACGATGTAACCCGAGCAATTTTAAAATCCTTAAAATTATAAATGAATTTTTAAACGCATAGTAACTAAATTGTTTTAAATATTTTTTGGAAAAATTCTTATTACTGAAAATATTTAAATTAGTTTGTTTTTAGCGGTGAAATATAACTATTAAGAGAAAATATGAGCACGCGAAGTAATCACTTTTTTCTCTTCAATTTCCCAAGCTGAAACACATATTTTATTAAAATATACAATAGCTATTATAAATGCAGGGCTTATTTAATTAAAAAAGTAATGTTCCAATTTACAATTTATCCAATTTTCTATATGTAAAAACAGTTTGAACATTTGACGAGAGAAATATTTATCTACAACTGGGGTTTTACATATTAAGGAATGTGTAAAATTGTCAAAATGAAACAAATTTTTTTTCGATAAGATTAAAGCTACGTACGAAAATCTAGTAGTATAGGTCACGGATATATTAATGAAACTTATGATTAACAATTGGCAAAAAAAGTTCAATATTATAAATTATCTTTATAAGATGGACTTTAATATAACAGTTAGAAGACAATAGCATTAAAACTAATAAAATTTATTATCTGACTTAATATAAAAGTGACAGATTTAGATTTTAATCTTTACGTAAGTCTCTTCTGTTGAAAATTTGACAGAAATTTAAGGGGCTTTAAATAAACGACTAAAGTAATAATGGATCAACATCTTCTTTCTAAATTAGAATCTCTGAAATTTGAAATTGATTCGCTTCTGCACGAGTGCAGTTAAGCCAAAGCTTTAGGCTTTTACTTTTACTCTATGGATTTATTCAATACAGTTTAAGATATATATATATATATATATATATATATATATATATATATATATATATATATATATATATATATATATATATATATATATATATATATATATATATATATATATATATATATATATATATATATATATATATATATATATATATATATATATATATATATATATATATATATATATATATATATATATATATATATATATATATATATATATAAAATTTCCGAATTAAACAACAAATTATATCGCTCATAAGATGGCAAATAAGCCTCGCGAATGAGGTTCGTATTCAGGTTACTGCCGTATCATGCGTTTCGTTCGCCTCCCCGCCCCCGGTCCCACCCCCTTCGTGTTCTTCATATCAAGTTCTTCAAGTCTATCGTTACTTACACTTCGAGACTAATTAAAACATAAGCAATCCATTAATACAATGAGCGAGGCGCCTTGGACACGCACGTACGCTGGCGCATAATGAATTTTGATAATTCAGAAGCAGTGGGACGGCGCGAGGGAGCCTCGCCGTGACTGAACGAAACGTCTCGGCGGTCCCTCCCCGTCCGATCCCGCTGCCCGTACGTTAATGCAACTGGAGGATCGATAGATCCGCTCTTTATTTTCGTAATAGGCAAGCGCTTGGCCCCACCTTCATTAAGACGAGTGCGAGGCTCACGAGTGCGGCTGCGACGTGCAGTGCGATGTACAGTGCTTGTCGGTGGCACCCGGAGTCGTCGGCGTCTTAATGACCGTCGCCGGCTTCTCCTCGTTAACCGGCGTCGGCGGCGCATCCTTCCGCGGAGGCATCCTCTCGTTTATCGCGTCGAGACCCTTCGCCTCGGCGAACGACGTGATCTTGTGGTTCGGCGAGAAGCCCTGCAGTGCTGTAATACAAATCAGCCGTTAGAGCGCCTACGTGGTGATAATTATCGCCGAGATTTACAGGGGAATGATCTTATCGCGCCACTTAATGAAATGTTCCTCCATGCGTACCGATACCGCACTTGTAGAGTGTGTTATGTTATATGCGGATTATGGGGTAGACGTTAAGGGGTAATAATTAAAATACTATTACCAGGCAGACGTCATCAGTACGAAGATGATTGGTTTGTTAAAGTCAATGCAAGTAATTATATAATTGAGATTATAATAAGTAGAGTTTTTTTAAACGATATTGTAATTAAGAATTAATTAACGACGTAATTGTATGCCCCTGTGCGTTATTGCGACTTCTAGGTGATTTCAAGTGTACACGGCATAGATTCAATCTCTATTATTATTTATTAGCGGTACCGAAGTATGTATATATATATATATATATATATATATATATATATATATAACAATTATTAACGATTTAATAATGATTTCAAACTGAGAAAACAGAGAATCCGTTGATTTTAAACAGTAAAACATTAAATTCCCGTATTTCACGTGGACGTTTATTCTGTGTTTCTTATCTTTTTGATATTAAAACTTGGTTACAAAAAAAGTTAAAACCCTAGTGTGCGTCATGTTCTTCGTTCAGCTGGAAAAAATAACTTTATCCGCTTAAACAATCAATGCTCGTTAAAATATATGGAAAACTTGAAATTAAAAGCACTTGATTACGTTTTATGAATAATGAAATAGTTTACATTTACCGTTCTTTAACGACGTTTTTCCACCTGAAAGTGCACCCAGTGGCAGAGCACCGGTCGGCGTCAATCCCTTGAGCTGCAGTACGCTCTCGCTTTCCTCTCTGCAAAAGAGACGAAATGATAAACGAAAGCCAGCGTTTCTATACATAATGTACTAAATTCTCAGATAAACTTCAAAGAGTAGCGCTGAATATTTGCGAACATCGTCCACGTGCATAATCGTTTCGATCCTCAAAAGAATCTTCACCCATGAGTATGAAATGTTTACTAATGAGATAAGTAGATAAGGAGATAAGGAGGAAAAAGATTTTTAATTATTGAGAGGATGACAGGTTGGCAAAGGCTAATTTTATGCCCACGAAGATAATCCCTCGACAATGGAAAAATTTATTTAATTACATTTTGCTCGATCTCATCATATATATCTGTTAATATTCATGGGTTCGTAAATAATAAAGATTTAGCAATATTGATATTGCTAAACATTGCAATCGACTTTTATGTATTATTCTTATATGAACGATACAAAGCAAATTTAACAATTCATTAAATTTTCAAACAAATTCCCCTTACAATAATGCGCTTACTATACATTGAATTTTTTACATTAAATTTTAAAGAAAATGATAAAAGCACTATGTACTTTATATACATATTGATTTAAATTTAGAGTCGATAACATCGCATAATTAATGTAAAGAGTGTTTATACATGAAACTAAAATAACATAAAATTACATGAAGATTTATCTATCAGGATTTTAATTAACCTTCTAAGAACTCCTTTATAATTAAGAATTTATTTATGTCCCTTGGTTCGTTCTCAAGTTACTATTTTAAAATTCTAAAAATAACCAATATAATAATATTATGTTTCAAATTAAACTTTTCGTTGTATACATGGGACTATTTATGGAATTAAAATGCATTTGTAGTTGATATTACAAATTTTATAATTTAACACATCACAAATTATAATAATATGAAATATAGTTAATAATATCGATCTTTTAGTTTATCTACTTTAAACAGTGATTTTCTATTTTACGGTAGAATAAGGATCGATAAAGTTTATCACATTTAAAAGAATATTATTGTACATTATATTTTTATATATATTATATATTAAAATGTATTAAGTAACTAAATACTTTAAAGCAATAAATGCATATATATATATATATATATATATATATAACAATGGAAAATATTTTAATACGAATATAATAGTTTAGTAATTGGCATAATAAGTTACAAGTCTATGATAAATAAAAAGACTGGACATATGATGATCTAAAAATGTCAATAGTATATAAAATTTCATTAAAATTGTCATGTATTTGGAAAATCAAATATTTATTAATTATGCATGAGAGTATCTTTAAATGTGAAATAAATAATTTCTGGTATAAAATGTATATGAATGTGTATACAGATACGTTAAAAATAACTTAAAATATTTCGTAAAAATCAATTATTATCTCAGACTATACACAATTTTATATTAAAACTTATATTAACATCTTTTCGAATTTTATAACAAAGCCCTTTTTTTCTTAACCTGGATATTTCTTTTGAATTTTTTTTTTTATCTTATTCAAGCGATCTTTTAAAAGATAAACTTTTCTTATATGAATATTAAGCAGTTTTCAAATACTTTCAATAAAATTTCACGCCTACGTTTCCTAAAATTATTTTCTATAAAATGAAAAATAGAAAAGCTAGAAAAATCTTATAAAATTTTATATAATTATCCTTGAACGATAATAGTCATTTGTAATTCATTATATTAAAACTATCTATTGTGCTTTTAAAGAAAACATGTTGTTGATTGTTATTCGTATTTATGTGTATTGTACGTTAATTTTTAACATAAAAAATGAAAATTTATATTACTATAATCCGTAAGATTTGGATAAATTTTTAAATGTCCTTAAAGTAATCAACGTTCTTTTATAACAAAAAAAATAGCATTTGATGTTAATGGGTCAAATATCAAATTTTATTTTTAAATATAATTTATATATAAATTTAATAATTAATTCTGCCATTCGAATAAAGCAATTATTAATTTGGTAATTTATTTTTATAATATCCAATACTTTATCAACCTCATAATGTTTCTATTCTTATAGAAATATGCAATCGCATAAATTCCAAATTCTTTGAAATTTAAATAGTCTATAAATAGAAAAGATTTCATTCGATGACTCTATCCTACCTCTTTCTGCATTTAGAATAAAAACATATAACAATGTAAAAAGAATTTTTATGTATCGACATTCTTGCATTCAAATTCTTCACTGACCTGAGAACAGAGAAGACGCGTGCCATTTTGCCGATTGCTCTGATCTTGTTGCGAATAACTTCCTTGCGTAGATTGGCTGCTATACCTAGAAAATCCGGAGAAAATTTTCTGATCAATATTAAATATACGTGTGTATAGCATTTTGTGTGCGTGTATATGAATTCGTGGAAAGTAACAGAATTTTCAAGTCCTCATGATCTTCAATGCCATAAAGTTATATATATATATATATATATATATATATATATATATATTCACAATTGCAAATGCAAACGATTGAATTTGGTATCAACGACGATGATATCATCATAACGCACACTTATCTAAACTACTACTCAGCTAAATTTCTTAGCGTTTATAAGTTCATCTATATAAACAGTGGTCCTTTGTTAAATAGTTAATCGCTAATAGAAGGAAGATAATATACGTGGCAATGGTACATTGTATAGGACAAATGTTTATAGGAAAATTTATTTTACAATTATGCATGTAAAATCATAATTTGAGAAAAATCCATATTTCAAGTTGTATAAAACAATGCAATTAATGACATACGCAAGTTTTTACAATAGTTAAATGAATAAATCCACCACCTCAAACGCACATTTTTAAAAAATTTCCAATTTATTAATTTTTTTCCGGAAAATGGTAAACTAAAGTGTAATTTAAAGTCTATGGCGCATCGCAGTACTCGTATTTTGCTACAAAAAAAAAGTTTCGAATATAATATGCTGCATTGGGTTTTGCCTTATCATAACACGTAAAGCAATAAAACGCGTTAATATTTATTCGTTAATATTTATTCCAAAAGAAATATCTTTGCTAGAATTATTCATGATTTTCAACTCTTTTTTATGCCTTATACGCTCATATAAAAATAACTTCATTTTACGCGTGTTTAAAAAAATATTTTTTATACATCATTTCTGAACAATATAAATGAGAATAATAAAAATATATATTTTCAAAGGCAGAATTAAATGTGTACGACTAATGTAGCAATTGCCTCGTCATTCCTCGTCATTCCTCGTCGATGCAAATAGAGAAGAAATTTTTAAATTACATAAAAGATGAACTGATATTTACCTTTCCAAATTATAAAATAATAAATATTTAGTTAACTTTTTACTCGCTTACTTGTTAAAATTTTTCGTCAAATTAATTATAAATTAAGCTCTGATTGTTTCATCGAGTATTAATCTACATTACATGCATATTTTATGTGTATTTAAAAATTTCTTTAAATATATACATTTTATCATTTACACTTCTACATTTCATTAATGCACATTAATTATTAAGCTTAATAGATGAACAAATATTTTTTATCGTAAGTAATTTTAATTTAATTCGCATTATCGTTTTAATTAAAAATATAATTGTGTTTTTATTAGGGTATCTTTAAATTACACGAATAAACTTTTACTAAGAAAATTCAAACAATACTAACCATATGAATGGGTAATTTATTATTTTAATATACATTCAAGAGTTTTAGACATGCAACAAATATTACATAGCTTTATTGTTCCTGATTACGTGTTTTTCAAAAACATATATATATATATATGTTTCAATAGTTTGGTTCATATTTCAATGCACATAAAATTGACAATTGAATATTTCATGTTTTGTTTTATGTATATGAAAAAAATTATTATTTAAATAAATCTACCATGTGAAAGCAATGAATAGCGTTTGCCGAATAAAAATTCATTTAATATTTTTTATCAATCAAATATGCTTACTCGCGCACTACCTTCGCGATTCAGTACTTTAGTTCTCATATTAACAATGGGAAAGTATGTATACTTAACATGATTATATCATCAAAAAAAAAAAAAAAAAAAAAAAAAAAAAAAAAAAAACAACAACAAAAACAATATGGCAAAACCTCTTGTACGGCATATTTAGATAAATGTGTATTGACTTTCTCACATCTCTCCTTGTATAGAAATCGAATGAAAGTAATAGTCAAGTGAGAAAAGAGTGCGTGTATGCAAGATTTTTTGAGTTGTACCTTCGAATGCGCGTAAATAATTGATAATACGCAATTGGAAATACAGTCATGAAGCCAAAGCTTTCAAACGTACTAGCTTATATGTAAGATGTGCACACACAGAGAAGATCGCACGTGCACGAGCATTAAAAGTTATGCAAATATAAATATATGTGTTTTTGTATAAAATACGTAGTATATTGAAAAAATATATTTATTTCTACAATCGCAATCTGACTTCCATAGGCCTATTGGAATTTTTGCTATTTTTAATTAAAAAATTTTGTTCAATGTAATATTTGCTATCTATTATAGGCTTTTAATTAGTCTTTAAATCTTTATTAATTCGTATTATTACAATGTGCTAATAAAGATCATAAACAAAACCATGTTGGTATTCGTTATTTTATTCCCATTAATAAAAATTCCAATTTACAAGTTAATATTTCTATCTAATTGTTAATTTTTATATATTTACTTTAAAAACCACACATTCCAACGCGTTACTCGCAAAGAAGTATAATTATTTATAATAAAAAAAGTTTAATATATAACGAAAAACTTCCCTAAAGATTCGACGATTCATTTTATTTCATTATATTTACAATTTATGCCGATATTAATAATCTGCAGTCATATTAAAATTTAATATTGCTAATAATTATTATTATATAATGAAGAAAGTTTACATTAAACATGTCATTTGGAAAATGTTTTGTCGGTATTTCTCATTAATAATTTTGTTAACGATACGTCAAAATTATAAAAGCATTTTGAAATAGCCCGAATTTAAATAAAATTAAAATATTACGATAAACTAAGTCATAAGAAATTAAACGACTGGGAAAACTTGCTTTTTTGTTTGTTGACAAAATTTAAGATAAGTATACATATTTTTATTCGTATGGCTTTTCTAAAACTGTGTGCTTTACAAATATAATGCTAATTTTTCTTTATTTATATATATATTCATATAAATAATTGTCAATCACATTTAAATTCAAGTTTTCAGTGAACAACTCGATTAAAAAATCGTCATAACGGTGATTTGATACTAATATACTCCTACACACGTTAATGCAATTTATTTTTATCACCTGTAAGCGCCCTCGATTTATCAGAATAAGTACTTTTCTTATTTATTTATTTATTTATTTATTATTATTATTATTATTATTATTATTATTATTATTATTATTATTATTATTATTATTACCATTATTATATAACGCGCGTCAGTAAAAATCCACGATTTCTTTTACACAGAGTTTAATTGAAATTGAACTGCACATATATTCTTATTTGACGTTCGATCAACAATTTTGTTTTATAATTTAATGTAAAATATAGGCGATGAAGGGTGCACCAAACAAATCAAAGTATTGCAGCCTCGGTTCAATTACGACTAATAATAACTAATAATGTCGCTATTTCGCTCTGGCAATCGATCCTCCTACCTACTTCCCACGCTTCCTTGCTCAGATTTAAACTAATTGCACAATAATTCACGATAAGCTCTGGTCATTTTCATAAAGTCAATATTACTTCCAATGATCCACTATTCTTGTTCCGGTTGAAAAATTTGATTAAATATTGGTGGGTAGTGTTAAAAAGGAAGGGCTAGCGTTCCAAATGCAGAAAAAGTTTCACAACCTTGTCATTCCATTTGCGCTCGCGATATATTAACGCACACGTAAAAAACTAATTTTCTCAATATTTGCTGCACCCGTGTTTCGAGCTTTAAGGGCAAAGTATCGTAAGGGCCAACCAACATGTAGTAAAAGTATACGATATTTTATCCTTACGCGATCACGTCGTGTGTCTGTATCTGTGATAACGAAAAGTTTTGACCTCTTAACACTTATGAATTTAATAATCAATGTTTCAATTTTGCGCACAATTGACGAATAATAGTTTGAATTTATTCAGTAAACCGGCATTTCCCGAGCACCGCCTGAATTTTCGATACGCACGCACGCACGCACGCACGCACGCACATACACACAGAAACAAACAAACAAACAAACAAACAAACACTTTAGCAAAAGCAGTAATTTATTTATTTGACTATTTTATTGTGCACGAAGCACACTATTATATCACCAAAATACAAACAAACGGTCGATTTGTTTGAGAAATTGAAAATTAGGTGAATTCACCATGATATATTTAATATTATTGCAATGTCTAATAATGAAAATGAACATCAATAAATTATACAATAAACAAAGAGAGAAGAAATTGAAAAAAATAAAATTAATATTCCTTTTAATGCTATTGCATGATACACCACTTAAGCAGCCGAGAGCTTTATCGCTCGATTATACCTGATTAAAAATAATAGCAATTACGTTTAATTCTCATTTGAAGACGAGGAGAGCCTGTCAAACACAAATAATCATAAGCGTCCCACGCAGCATACTATTATGGATAACTCGATGCACCAACACTCTACCGGATATTATGGGATCGAATACGTGACACTTTACATATTGAGCCACTCAAGCCCCTAACAAATAATCGTTTTTAATTTTTCTCCTCTCCTTTCAATCGACACACGTTCGCATGCATTTCACTTTACACCGCGATTATGCTAATTTTCCACTCGAAGATGAGATTCTTTTTTTGAAATCGATTTACTGTTTGTATTTTTATATTTTGTTTAATTTTACAAACACATGTTTTTCTGTACTAAAGATGGGCCAGTCAATTCTATTGTATTGGCTTTCAACGTTACGTATGCATTGTCGATTCAATTTGCCAATCTTTTTAACTAAGAAAGAAATATATTGGATTCTGTTTCGTTGTGATATTAATTATACATCGAATCACACTTGAATTAACAATACATTACACATTCAATTCGAAGAACAACAAAACAAAAAAGAAAGACAAGATTTTATTATGAATAAAGGTTAAACATTACATTGAAATGACAAGTCGGTATGTATGTATGTATGTTTTTTTTTTTTTTTTTTTTTTTTTTTTTAGATAAGGAAATGTTTACGAATCGATGCCAATTATAAACTTTGAAAAATCGATAAATTCCACGTGTGAAATTATTCCCTACAAAATTAAGTTTGAAA